ACCTGCCCTGGTACACCTGTACCTGCCCGGGCACACCTGGACAGGTGCACTGGATCCGCTGGTCACGGAAAACCACCCGGAAAATGCTCTGCAGAGAGGGGGGATGGCACCTGTCCCTGTCTGTCACACCTGGCCAGGTGTTCCTGTGCTCACCTTGACCAGCTTCCCGTTGATCTCCGGCAGTTCCCCGAGTTTCCTGTTGTCCAACATCCGGATCTCGTAGGACTGACCTGGGGGAGGGGGCACCTGAGGGTTACCTGTGACCACCTGGCACACACCTGGGAGCACCCAGAACATACCTGTGACCACCCTCCACACACCTGTGACACCCAAAATACACCTGAAATCACGTTACACACACCTGTGACCACCTTGGATACACCTGTGAGCACCCAGAACACACCTGTGACCACCTTATGCACACCTGTGACACCCAGAACACACCTGTGACCACCTTACACACACCTGTAACCATCGTGCACACACCTGGAACCACCCTGAACACACCTGAGACCACCCAGAATACACCTGAGACCACCCTGCACACACCTGTGATCACCCAGAATACACCTGGAACCACCTTGAATACACCTGTGACCACCTTGAACACACCTGGAACCACACACCTGGAACCACACACACCTGGAACCACACACCTGGAACCACACACACCTGCACACACCTGGAACCACACATACCTGAGCTCTCACACACCTGGTCCCTCCCACACCTGGTTCCTCACACACCTGCACACACCTGGTCCCTCCCACACCTGGTTCCTCACACACCTGCACACACCTGGTCCCTCCCCCACGTGGTTTTCCCCCAGGCCCACCCTGGCAATCGGGAATTCCCCCTCGGCCGGGGGCTGAATGTTCCCATGGCAACTGTGGGGCAGCGGCCCCGCCCGGCCAGGTGAGCTCACCTTGGTTCAGGTAGGTGAGGGTCAGGTGAGGGCAGGTGAGCTCACCTTGGTTCAGGTAGGTGAGGGTCAGGTGAGGGTCAGGTGAGCTCACCTTGGTTCAGGTAGGTGAGGGCCAGGTGAGCTCACCTTGGTTCAGGTAGGTGAGGGCAGATGAGGGCAGGTGAGCTCACCTTGGTTCAGGTAGGGGAGGGTCAGGTGAGCTCACCTTGGTTCAGGTAGGTGAGGGCAGGTGAGGGCAGGTGAGCTCACCTTGGTTCAGGTAGGTGAGGGCAGGTGAGGGCAGGTGAGCTCACCTTGGTTCAGGTAGGTGAGGGTCAGGTGAGGTCAGGTGAGCTCACCTTGGTTCAGGTAGGTGAGGGTCTCATCGTGCAG